CTTACAGTTTCATGCATTTTTGATAATTTTCTTCAGCAGTGAAGGTGGATAAAGCTTAGCGTGTAGAGTGCTGGAGGAAAACTTGGTAAAGTCTGATTTATAATTTCAGCAGAAAAGATTAAACTTTTTAAATAAAAAAATAGAAAAATTTAGCTTTCTTAAAGCTACAGTGTGTAATTTTCAGCGACATCTAACGTCCAGACTGCAGACTGCAGCAACATGAACATCTCCCCCCCACCGCTTCTCCCCCCCAACAGTACGGCGAGCGTTACGGGACAAAATGTCTTCCACGACATCCGCATCACCTACCTTCTCAAGTGATGAGGTTTGTTTACATAGATAATTTTACATATAGTATTCTCAGGCATAATACTGCCATCTATTGTTCAGTACCGTCTCAGGTCATCTCTCTCAACTTGCCGTAGTTACTTTCGAGCGTAATGGGTGATCTCGCAATCGCTAGTTTGTTGGCTCTGCGCTGCCGTAGCGCAAAGATGTCTGCCTCCATGGCTGCGAGACCCGCTCCTATGTAATTATAAATAACGAAATCTAAGGCAACGCAAATATTAAGGTTAAGAGGCTGAGCTCGTAGATGATGATAAATAACATAGTTATGTATAATATATTACATTTCTGACTGTATATCCCTGTAATTATTACACACTGTAGCTTTAATGTACAGCCAAAGTTACAATATAATGTAAAGTCTTTTCTTCCTTCATATTAGCCTATAGTCAAAGTCTACACAGGAAGACGGTGTTGCAATTTTTTTTCTTTTGCGTTCCCTCGCAATACTTTTGCGTTCCCTCGCAAAAACTTTTGCGTTCCCTCGCAAAACCTTTTGCGTTACCTCGCAAAACCTTTTGCGTTACCTCGCAATAGGGCTTGGTCGTCGTGACGTCACCACTTTGCGTGGTCGCCATGTTGACGGCGCACTTTACGGCTTCCTTAGACTATTGCCTGTGACTAACGCGTACTGTTCTCCCTCTCAGCCGTGTTTTATTTCGTTTAATTTCACCGTAACTTGATTTCAACCATGGTAAACCGTTGCTGTATTGTGGGCTGTAACAGCGCATCACATGATCGCCGAGGGAAAAACCTACAAAATGGGATAACTTTCCACCGCTGTCCTGCCTGGAGGCGCAAACACGGAGACCAAGTTTCACAGATAACAAAAAGTCGTCGGCTAGCTTGGATCGCGGCTGTAAGACGACAGAACATAACTTTCCACAGTATCCTGATGTCAATGCGAGTGTGTTCCCTGCATTTTCATTCTGGTAAGTTAAAGATGCACGGTTTTATTTTATAGCCTACAGTGTTTCCTTCCTTCATCCGTGGCACCACATACATGCATGAACGGGCGCCCAGAGACTGTTGATATAGCATTTTCATCCTCGTTGGTTGATATAGCATTTGATATAGCATTTTATCCTCTTTGGTAGAACACACTGCCAGTTCCTACAAGGACAGGGACATCCCTCTCCATTTTCAAAAAAAACCCTGAGGTTGACAGCTGTCATAGCACCACTTATAAATTTTGCTGATCCTAGCGCTTACCATCCGTCTTGTAATGTAATGTAATCATATAATACAATATAATAATGTGTATATTGAGGATCATTGATAACATTATGGTTCTATATGTGTTCAACACTGCTGCTGTGGATAATAATTTTAAATTGTGTCACCAGGAAAACCAGCAAATGAAATGTACACCTCGCATCCGGATTGGGCACCATCACTACACTTGGGCCACACTGAGATAAAGGCCACACAGACTGCACGCTATGAGAGACAGGAAAAGAGAAAACGGCAAAGGACTGACAGTACACCTGCGAGGATGAGACAGCTATTGATGACCTTGTTCCACCCGGTAAGCCTTACAGAGCCAGCAGATTCAACACCATATGTTGCTTTTGTGGCTTTTTCAGCTGCATGATGCACATTTAGCTAAAAGATGTCCTTATTTTATCCATAGTGGAGACACCAGCACCAGCTGAGGATGGAGCTGAGCATCAACCGGCTGCTGGAGGAGAACAGGACCCTGAAACGTGAGCTTGGCCAGAGAAAAATGGATGAAGATTTCCTGAAGGAAGACACCGTCAAAGTGAAATACTACACTGGACTTCCACACCTTGAAGTCAACCACTTTATTCTGGTGTTTATGAATTACTGTATTAAAGAAAAGATTGATGCTCAATATGGAATTGACAATTTCTTTGTATCAACAATACACTCTAAGCAAACATTTAACAAGTGGGTTGTTTTTTAGCCATAGGTGTGTTTTGCATCCATACCCAAAAGCAAGAGGTCTCAAACGATCAGATCCTTTTCAGTGTTTATTTGCAAGTAGTGAAACTTGAGAACACAGTGTAGCGCAGAACAGTGCAGTGCAGTTTGAATGCTTGTAGGTAAATGGTTACAAATAAAAAATGGACGCGATGAAAATGCAGTGCAATTACTTACAATAACATAGTATGTATTTATACAAAATGTTCAATCCTATTAATAAGTCGGTCTTAATGAAACATCAATGGAGAAATGGAAAGTGGAGATATTGCAAATTATTATTATACAAATTGTAGTTATAGTAAACATTAACAGTTAAACACTGTTAGTGCAAATTCTTATATAAGTATTTATAATAATATGCATTACTTAAATTGTATAAATAAAGGCTGCGATGCAATATGTCATGATATACAATAATATAATCTATAATTGTATAATAATATAACAACGTGCAATAATATGCAAATATAACAATACAATGTAATAATACAAAATACTATGCTTTTTATAAAAAATGTCTATGTATAAAAAAAATTCCAAAGTAATAAAAAATACGTATTTATGAAACATCAATTACAAACATAAAAATTGGAGGTAGATCAAATTAAGTAATAACAGATATCAATAACATTTGAAGTAGTGCAAATTATTACTATAGTACACATTAAAAAACAATGTTAGTGCAATGTCTTATATAATTACTTTTAACAATATGCATTTCTTAAATTGTATAAATAAAGGCTGCGATGCAATATGTCATGATATACAATAATATAATCTATAATTGTATTGTAATATAACGACGTGCAATAATATGCAGCTGCAATGTCTTTCACTGTCTCACAGTGCTGGAGAAGGACAGCTGGTGGAGCCTTTTCAAACTTTGGGTCGCGGAGACGGTCTTGCAGGGGTTTTGGGATCACAGCTGGCTGGACAGGAGCAGCATAGTTGTGAAAGTAGGGCTTCACTGTGGACATACAAACTGACCTATGGTTCTGAAGAACAGGGAACATTGACGATAAGTCGTCCAATGTGGCTTGGGCAGTGCGTCTGCTGGCCCGTGTCCGTAGGCCAGGCATGGGAATGTTGTCATCGATGACTCTGTCCAGAGCAATCCTCTGCGCTTTGGATGAAGTGAAGTCCATCTTGTGGGCGACTTCACCGCTGACTTTGTTGATACCTGCTGGTATTTTCCAATAAGCTGGCACATCTGTCACAGTCTTTTTCCCACGGATGCGGACTGCTGCCTCAATCTTAAACAGCAGAGCCCCAACATGTGTACATGCCTCTGCAATTCCAGCCATGCATTTACAGTGTGCACAGCAAACCTGCCCATCGTCAGCAATGATGACCCATGGCTTCAGGGGAGTCTCATTAATGCGCTGAGAGTGCAAGACCTGAGGAGAAAAAAAATAGACATAAATTATGCAGGTAAGGACACCATTATATTTCATTCTATGCAGGAAAGCAAACGTTAACCTCAACCCCTCATGCATGTGTATACATATCATATAAATCACAGTTATACAACAGTAAAGTATAACAACCACGCTGTTATATTGTTATATCACTTAAAAGAAAAAGAAATGAAATGAGCACAGGACATTTAAACCTGCATAATACCTCTGACTGAATGATTTAAGCTCAAAGTTACCCGTTACAGTGTTTTATGAGGTCAGATTTAATAACCCGCAGTCAAAACTGCACTCATTTTTCTAAATAGTTCACTTTGAAAGACTGATTCAAACTAGGAGTTAACTTGAATGGCCACAGCACTGCACTATTGTTTATTTTTTTATATTTTGCGGATCTTTGACTATTTAATCTGTTCCTTAAAATTTTATTAATAACAATGTTCAATAAATGATTTTCAACAAAATACAGATGTAACACCTATCCAGTTTCTGAATGATGGTAAAAAAAAATATTGTTTCTACCAGCAGCTGGGGGAGACTAGATTAGAATATGGTTCAGAAAACCTGTTAGGACACATTTTTTTTTCTAACACTAAGTATCAAACAAATGCTGATTTCTATTTCAGCAAATTATTCTTAAATTTTTTTTAAATATTTTGAATAAACGTTTTGATGAAGATTTGAGATTCCTTTAACTGAATGAATGGTCACAAAGCTAGTGTTAAGCTTGAAGTAAATCAAATGGAATGCCCCCCCCCCCCCTTTAAGTTCTTTCTGCAGCCGGGTCTGGCTAACGTTCATGTTGATCCTAAATCTGCAGCAGGAAGAGGCTCAGATACGTGAGAAACCCGGAGGGTTGGCAGTTACCGTTACAAACTACACCTTTGAAAGTTTGAAAATGCTCCACCAGCTGTCCTTCTCCAGCACTGTGAGACAGTGAAAGACATTGCAGCTGCATATTATTGCACGTCGTTATATATTACAATACAATTATAGATTATATTATTGTATATCATGACATATTGCATCGCAGCCTTTATTTATACAATTTAAGTAATGCATATTATTATAAATACTTATATAAGAATTTGCACTAACAGTGTTTAACTGTTCTGCGCTACACTGTGTTCTCAAGTTTCACTACTTGCAAATAAACACTGAAAAGGATCTGATCGTTTGAGACCTCTTGCTTTTGGGTATGGATGCAAAACACACCTATGGCTAAAAAACAACCCACTTGTTAAATGTTTGCTTAGAGTGTATTGTTGATACAAAGAAATTGTCAATTCCATATTGAGCATCAATCTTTTCTTTAATACAGTAATTCATAAACACCAGAATAAAGTGGTTGACTTCAAGGTGTGGAAGTCCAGTGTAGTATTTCACTTTGACGGTGTCTTCCTTCAGGAAATCTTCATCCATTTTTCTCTGGCCAAGCTCACGTTTCAGGGTCCTGTTCTCCTCCAGCAGCCGGTTGATTTCAGCATGCCGGCGCTGACAGAAGTCACATTCTGTCAGCGGTGTCTGCTCAGCTCCATCCTCAGCTGGTGCTGGTGTCTCCACTATGGATAAAATAAGGACATATTTTAGCTAAATGTGCATCATGCAGCTGAAAAAGCCACAAAAGCAACATACGGTGTTGAATCTGCTGGCTCTGTAAGGCTTACCGGGTGGAACAAGGTCATCAATAGCTGTCTCATCCTCGCAGGTGTACTGTCAGTCCTTTGCCGTTTTCTCTTTTCCTGTCTCTCATAGTGTGCAGTCTGTGTGGCCTTTATCTCAGTGTGGCCCAAGTGTAGTGATGGTGCCCAATCCGGATGCGAGGTGTACATTTCATTTGCTGGTTTTCCTGGTGACACAATTTAAAATTATTATCCACAGCAGCAGTGTTGAACACATATAGAACCATAATGTTATCAATGATCCTCAATATACACATTATTATATTGTATTATATGATTACATTACATTACAAGACGGCTGGTAAGCGCTAGGATCAGCAAAATTTATAAGTGGTGCTATGACAGCTGTCAACCTCAGGGTTTTTTTTGAAAATGGAGAGGGATGTCCCTGTCCTTGTAGGAACTGGCAGTGTGTTCTACCAAAGAGGATAAAATGCTATATCAAATGCTATATCAACCAACGAGGATGAAAATGCTATATCAAGAGTCTCTGGGCGCGCGTTCATGCATGTATGTGGTGCCACGGATGAAGGAAGGAAACACTGTAGGCTATAAAATAAAACCGTGCATCTTTAACTTACCAGAATGAAAATGCAGGGAACACACTCGCATTGACATCAGGATACTGTGGAAAGTTATGTTCTGTCGTCTTACCTCCGCGATCCAAGCTAGCCGACGACTTTTTGTTATCTGTGAAACTTGGTCTCCGTGTTTGCGCCTCCAGGCAGGACAGCGGTGGAAAGTTATCCCATTTTGTAGGTTTTTCCCTCGGCGATCATGTGATGCGCTGTTACAGCCCACAATACAGCAACGGTTTACCATGGTTGAAATCAAGTTACGGTGAAATTAAACGAAATAAAACACGGCTGAGAGGGAGAACAGTACGCGATAGTCACAGGCAATAGTCTAAGGAAGCCGTAAAGTGCGCCGTCAACATGGCGACCACGCAAAGTGGTGACGTCACGACGACCAAGCCCTATTGCGAGGTAACGCAAAAGGTTTTGCGAGGTAACGCAAAAGGTTTTGCGAGGGAACGCAAAAGTTTTGCGAGGTAACGCAAAAGAAAAAAAATTCCCCATGTCCCCTAGGGGGCTCCGTATAATTCACCTAAAACATGCAAACTTAAATGTCTGACAATGAACAATGAATGTAAACATCTGGTCTTGGATCAATGCTTTTCTTTTTTGCATTTATAAATGTACTTTGATACGATAACTTCCTCTTTTTATACCTAATGCATTAGCTTTTATCACTCCCCCTGGAAAAACCTGCTCTCTTTGACCGAATAATCTTACTGACAAAAGTATTAGGATTACCAAATTGTTCGAAAAAAGGCTCACTTGATCTTTATCTGCTTTTTATGACTTTAATATTTAAACACATAACATATTTGGGAACAGAGGGATAGGCCACATGTTAGAATAGATATACGCAGCCAGCCAACACGTTGCGTGCGGAGGCTGCCAAGCAATCTGCTCGGAGTTGGGCCAGAAGAAAGAGGGTAAGACTTTATTTGGTGACTATTTTTCAGGTGCATTAATAGATGAGTTGTGTCCATACGCAGTGCGCTGATTCATTGTTTTTTTTCAGCTGCTGAAAGCGAGGCAGAGTGTGCTAGCAGATGAGGAAGTGGAACTCTGGAAGTCCGCCACCGTCGGCCTCATGTCCGACGAAGAAGATGGCGTCGTTGGCGGTGTCTCTGGATAGATTGTACAGTCGCCTCCATTTCATAGGCCGGATCTCACTGAACTCTGTGTTAAGCTGCAGTCCCGGTTAGAAGCGATGCCGAAGTACAGGGCCACGCACAGTAGGCGTGACCTGCCTCGGAGGGAATGCTGCCAGTTACCGCCAACCCCGAGGAGGCAAACGGACCGTTCACGGACTTGTAATTTTTAGATACGCATGTGTTTGGATACGCGTTGTATATAGTTGTGTGTGTTTTAATAAAGCTCTTTCTTTGCATAAACAGCTTCCTGGCAAATGTTCATTTCCTGTATAAATTCATTCATGTCCTTGATGGTAGCCTAATAATTGTGTAGTAGTGTAGGATAACATAAATACACAGCATATGGATGAATAAATATATATATTCATAAATATATATATGTAAATTTATATGTAAATATATATATATATGCCAACCAATCACGAGTGACTTAACTAGTTTAAAAAGAAGTGGTTCCGTCCAATACTCAGTAATAAAATTAAAGCCTGGCGTGGCCATGTGTGGTTTTGCTGCCAATCACGAGCGATTTCACTTGTTTGAGAATAGTGGTTTCAGCCAATACTGAGTAGGTTATTCAAGCCAAACCTGGCCAGAGAATAAAAATGCAATGTATGCTAATTAGGGCCATTAGTACAGCTGATCGCTCTCCACATACGTCAGAGTCCGTTTCCGACAATTTGTGGCACGACAAACGCGGACAAGCGCGGGTTGCAAATTGTGGGAAACTGACGAAAATCAGGGAGATCTGCGGGAGTTTACGGGAGTTTACGGGGACGAAAATCTCACTTTTCATGCAGTGTTCGTTTCTTGCAAAGATTTTTCAAGATAATGTGAAACTGTAACGTTTTGGTATAAACATTGCCGAGATTTCTCTAACTTTTAGTGGGAAAATCAATAATTTCAATCAGTTTCTGCATTTAAATGGGTTTTGATTACATTTATAGCGAGAAGTGTAGGGTTTATTCATATAATATTTACTTAGTGAACATACATAATCACCCGCTTGCTAGTTTTTGCTACGGTTTTTCGGATCTCGTCAGGATTATGTGAAATTGCAACGTTTTGGCTGCTACCCATCGCCTAGCATTTAGCTGCCGCCCCGATTCAACATTGAATTCTTTGTGATTTAACTCCATCTGACGGATCAAACCCTCGCCACTGTGTGCGTTGCGTCTGAGGTTGATTTTCAGATCAGTGCACTACGTCGTGGCATACTGTAAATATAGTGCAAAATGCAGTAGAACATTCATTTGTGTTCTATTTAAAAGGATTATAAAAATTCAGCCACGTTGGTGAGGAAGAAATTGTTGCGTGTGTGTTGCAGAGTCCAGTTTAGAGTTCAATAGTCTAATGTGAGTGGGGCAAATCTGTTACAGAACCTGTTGGATCTGCAGCCAGATGGAGAACAGTCGATGGTTGGGGTGTGAGGGGTCACTGATGATGTCACATGCTTGGGACATGCAGTGCCGGGATGAAACGTCCTTAATGGAGGGAAGAGGAGCCCCGATGATCCTCTCTGCTGTCCTCACCGCTGTTCTCACGTTCTTCCAGTCTGAGGCGATGCAGCCTCCACACCACACAGTGAGACAGCTGGTCAGAACCCTCTCTGTGGTGCTTCTGTAGAAGGCTGTGAGGATGGGGGCAGGTGGGCTCTCCTCATCCTCTTCATGGCACTTTTGTGCCCTTTTGACCAGTGAGGTGGTGTTTACAGTCCAGGTGAGGTTGTCTGTGATGTGCACCCCCAGGAAATTGGTGGTGCTGAGCAAGGTGGTGTCACAACCAAACAAGTACAGACCAGATGAAGCTACAATAATGAGAAAAGGCAGAGAGGGCATAAAGTTAGTGGTTGATCTAACAAATACTGCAGAATGGCAGACCAGAGATAGAATGAAGCAGAATATTGAAAAGTTGCCCCTATTTCAGCAGCCTAAGCCTATACAAAAATTAGCAATTAAACATTATTTGAATGAGTATATATGTATTTTCCATTAAACAACTTTATATTATCAACAATATGCTAAAAGCTTTTAGTCAAATTACTGATTGCCAGTACTGTATAATCCATCTTTTTTGTTCCAACCTGAGTGAAATGTGTGGCAAATACTTTCTTCACCTAAATTTTGTATTCCTTCCAATTATTTTCTTAAAATTCATCCTGAAAGAAAACAAAAAATATTAACAGAGGAAAACCTAATTTAAGCCAAGATTTACATTAGTCATGGTGACAGGGGCATTTGAATAATTTTAATATTTTTACCCCTGTCCAGAAATGACAGATTTATAAACTGCAGAGTCATCGGAGCAATTCTGCATATGTATAACAGGGCTCCGAGTTGGACTGCATGTGTAGGTGTACAGATTGTAGAGGAATGAGAAGAGCTGGTTTCTGCGAGGCTCAAGAGTTTAAGACCACCCACCCGCTTTATCAAGTTATTCTCCATTCACACATACTGTGATTTAATTACCAGGCGGTCAATAACGGGAGCTACTGGAGCCATCTGTAGTCTTTCTGAATGCTCTCAGCAAATATTGTGCTAAATATACTGAAGAAATTTCCTCCTTCTCATTGCTTTCTATTTTGGTCAAAAGAGACTCAGTTCTATGAGACTCCAAACCTACATCCATGGTTAAAACAAGGTACATTTTCATTTCACTTATCCTACATATTCAGGACAGAATATAAATGCTCTGATTATAATATTTCTTGCCTTTTTACATATTCAACCAGACATGAACAATCATTTGTGTTCTGATTTTAAACAGTTTTTACTATTTTAAACAAAAATATAGAGAATAAAAATGCAATGTATGTAATATCATTAAGTACAACCCCTGATTCAACAGCTGTGAGGTACCGTAGTTAATGAAATAGCTTCATTGAAAATATTGATACTCTACTTTTTTATAGCATTATTTTAGTAAACTTCAGTTTACTCCATTCACAGCGCAGGAAGTGGGACTTTATGATGCGGAACTCTTAAGCCGGGTGTACAATGTGCGATTTTCCGGGCGATTTTTCAGTCGTGCGATAATCTTTCGATCGGGCCGACTTTAAGCCTGATCGTGCGTTGTGAGTCGTGTAGTGTACAGGGGGTTACATTCATAATCATGAAACATTAATCTATATTTACTTTTTACATATTTTACAAATATTGACTTGGACATTTAAAACTTCATCATTATTACATGTACTACAACACATAGCTCTGCTTAAGTAACCAGAGTAGCTTTAGCGTAATGCTTTTCCTGCAGTTTTAACAGTTTAGCAGCATATACACAACAATAGCTAACCCTACAGTGAACTGTAAAGTAAAAATGTTTAAATTTAGGCGAAAGGTTTAACATTTTAGGGGTTATTTGCTTCAGAAAAGCTCTAGTCAGAAGAATTTTAGAGTCTTGATCAAAAGCCACAGGAGGTGCTACCAGCCAGAGAGAATGATCCGATTGCACAGCTCATGTTATGGTCTCTGATTGTGCTCAGGATGAAGCATGTACATGCGTCAGCTGGTGGACAGGAAAAAAAAAAAAAGGATAATGGTGAAAATGTTTTGTCGAGAAAAACAAGAGGCAATCAAATCTGTAATCATGCAATCCTATTTTGCATTCAGAAAAATTATTAAATAAATGCTGATTAAAGTCAGAAGAGTATTTGTTGGGTTCCTCTCCTTCTATTTAATGACTATTTTTTGGAAACTGATTTGAATTGATTTGATTAAGGCTCCAGCCTTTTACTGCACCATTACATAATGAGTTAAATGTATTTGATGCATAAAACTCAAAATTCACAGTCAACACACAGACCTTCATTGAAAATGTCATAACGGTGCTGCAAGGGATCATTCACTACTACAGGAAAAGGGGGGGAAAGGAGAACTCATTATTAATATTGCTGCATTTGCTTATTTTCTCATAAAAAGCTTAACCATTGAATTGTGTTCTTTTTTAGAAAGAAAATACATATGCCATTTTGTTTTTAGACTTTTTTTTGCCACAGAAAGAATCTTAACTATAAGACCTCTGCTATCTATAGCTTTTAAAACTCTTGTCTTAGACTTAGACAGAGTTTATTGTCTATTTATGGTTACTAAGCAGACTGGGTACTGTTTAGTAACCTGTACCCATAAAAGGTATTCACACCCATTGACTTACAAAATATATATATATATATATATATATATATATATATATATATATATATATATATATATATATATATATATATATATATATATATATATATATATACAGTATATATATACCGATATATATATATATATATATATATATATATATATATATATATATATATATATATATATATATATATATATACTCGTACTCGTCGTCTCCCGCTTTATCCGGAACCGGGTCGCGGGGGCAGCAGACTAAGCAGAGACTCCCAGACTTTCCTCTCCGCAGACACCTCCTCCAGCTCTGTTGGGGGAAGCCCTAGGCGCTCCCAGGCCAGCCGAGAGACATAGTCTCTCCAGCGTGTCCTGGGCCGTCCCCTGGGCCTCCCCCCGGTGGGACATGCCTGGAACACCTCCCGAGGGAGGCGTCCAGGGGGCATCCGAAGAAGATGTCCGAGCCACCTCAACTGACTCCTCTCGATGTGGAGGAGAACCGGCTCTACACTGAGCCTCTCCCGAATGACCGAGCTCCTCACCCTATCTCTAAGGGAGAGCCCAGCCACCCTGCGGAGAAAGCTCATTTCCGACCGGGACCGGAGGGTGTGTTCCAACTATATATATATATATATAAATATAAATATATTGTTAAACAGAGGCCTCCACCTAAATTTTACATTTTGGGGATATGATGATATGGATAAACATAAATTATTTGGCAACTGTGAAGTGTGAGGAAAATCCTTTATGGCTGTTAGTTGGACCAAATTGTAGCCAATATTAGGCTGCTTAATCAAATGGAGCTATACATATATGTACTTAGTTTTCATATATAAAAACAAAAACATATAAAAACAACAAGTACATTTCCCTTTAAATAATAATAATAGAATAATAGAATTTTTACTAGATAATGTTAATATTCCCAATAAAACCATATAATATATCTCAAGGTTTATGGCTGTGACATAATTAAAGACATATGAATAGTTTGGAGAAAGACACTGTATGCTATGCATAATATAATTAATATAATATCTACATGACTTCACCAAATCACGGTTGGTTTTTATTTAGAACAGATTTCAGTAAGCTATATGCATTTCTAAATGTCACAGTAAGTCACAAATCATGTAGAACTTGCTTGTAACATGAGTCATCTTCTTGCAAAGTAGAACTACATGCAAGCTTTCAATTATGCTTTTTTCCTCGGTTCTTTGGTCTAAGTTATACTGATCCCTGTGGTCATCACACACTCTGCCCCTGCATATAGCCACACCGTGTTCACTGTTATCTTAGCTTGAAAGGCTGGATTTCTGCATTGACACATGCACACAAAAGCCTAGAGCCTTACCAGGTGATGAGATGGAGAATGTGAGCTGTGTTTAGATAATCACTGTGTTACAGGGCAGCGTGGTGCTGTCCACTATCTGCTGTAAAGCTGCAGCTGATATCAGGATAAAAAAAGTGATAATATCACCCAGTTCAAGCAATACATCTTATTGTTGCATTTGAATATCAATAAAAAGTGAAATCATTTAATATTTCCATTCAAAAGCTTAAACTAATGCATTATAGATACACTATAGGTAAAGCAGAGATTATTTTCCCAGCGAACACTTATTCTGTATTTTTAAATCAGTTTTGAGGAGTTATAGCTGTTTTTTTTTCCTTTTTATATTTGTATTTTTCACTGTAGAATGCTTACTGTTGTGGGGTTCTTTTTAGGTAGACAATTTTAAGATCTATCCAGGTACAACAGATGAAAAGTAGCCTTTTGGCTAATTCAGCTGCATTTGCAGGAATGCTTTTTGTTGTATACTGTCCCTTTCAAATAAATAAATAAATACATTAAATAAAATAAAATTGGGATGATAATGGCTTACATCTAATAAAAAAAAAACAAAAACAAAAAACAAACCTCAAACAAATCTGATTAAAAGAAAAAAGTTTTTTATCAGCATGGAATGTTTTATTCAAGACCATGCATTGACTATAGCTATTTAAACAGTTTTACTTTTTTTATTTTTAGGATGGGTTACTAGTAGAAAAGCAAAACAAAAAAGGCTGATTTTCTTTTGGTTTGGCAAAGAGAAAAAAGAAGTTTATTTAAAAAATAAAGTTTAATCTTTGTTGAATTATCATGTATTGATAAAAATATTCTTAATTTGATTGTATTCTTCATTAAAGTTGAAGTTACAGTGGTTCAGCACATGCCAGCTTCCTCTAAAGCAGACAGAAGAAAAGGGTGAAGTACTCATTAACAAACCCTTTCTTTCTCCATGCTTGTTTTGTTCATGTGTTGTAAACCCGTGTATAAATCACAGCAATTGGTCAGGATTTACTTGACATAAAATGTTAAAAAAGGGTTAAGGCTATGCCATTGCTTTTGGGTCCCTCCTTAACAACAGGGTTTCAAGCTGAAATCACTCTTCCTCACAAATGGGGCTCATGATAACCGCTGACGCTCCACCAGTCAATGTCACAGTGCTGACAGTCCCTGAATAGCTCTTCACGAGACAGATTTCACTCTAACTATTTTCCTTTTTAGCCCAGGTAACAACCACTCAAGTTCACAAATGACTTAACCTAAGAAATATGACAGATCCAGCTCATGCCCTGGATACTCCTGTTTATATAGAGCAGCTGTAACCCACGCCTCAAACTGCTGGGCTCA